ACCCGCCCCGACGCCCTCACCCTGGCCCTGGCCCGCGGCGATAAGTTTTCCACTCTCGCTCCCGCGCTTGGGGGTGAGTTTTTCGCCAAAGGAACAAAGCATAATCAGCGCTGAACATGCCAAGCACAACAGAAGCGGGAAAAGCGTTGTTGGCCAGAACCTGAGTCACAGCCGGGGTGCAGTCTGTGCGCCCTGTTAACAAAGCTATAAAACTGTCACCTATAATAATCGAGAAGCTCAAATTAAAGCCCGGAGCAAGCCCGAGTCGCGTGCCCTTCGACATACATAATAAAAAATGCAAATCATTCCCCAGCCAAGCATAACGGAATCGGAAAGCATTAGAAGTTGTTCAAGAGAGACGTTCTGAAAGTAAATGAGTGAAGTGAATAAACCCTGTTCGAAAGGTTAAATTGCATTTCCGTCCACTGACTGACCACGGGCAAAAAGCTGCTTAAAATCTTGGGGGAAATGTCTCGAGAAGTACTACTAAAAAGAACCGAAGTTGTAGCTATTTATACGCACTACCTGCACATCGGCCGGAACAAGCTTGAAACTTTAAACGCGATTATCTCAGAATCTTGTTTTTTCTAAATAACCTTTGCGGTGGACTAAAAAACTATTAATCCGATCAACACCCAATTTTGACCACTTATTTATTAAATTAAAAGCTAGTCCTTGGACGAAGGACTTTAATTTTTTTTTTAAACTTTCTTTTTTAGAGCATAAAATAAATAATAATAATAATAAATAATCGAAAAATTTTATACCTTAAAAAGGACATTTTTGTTAAATCGTCGCCATTTTTTTTAATCAAAATTTTTACAAATCCTTCGTCCAAGGACTAGAAAATACAATATACTAACGAAATTTTTTTTTATTTTTGATTTCGGATGAACCGTTCTCGGGATATGATGTCCAGCGCAAGTCACCATCGAAAAAAGACGATCTTGGAATTCGGCCATAACATTTTTATTATTTAATATTTTTTTATGAAAAAATTTTAATAGGTACCCAGAAAGATGTACTAAACAACGTCGGCAAAAAATTTTTAATAAATATTTTTTATGTTGTCAAAAAAAAAATCGACAAAATTTAATTGTTTTGCGCGGTACAACTTTATATAACCCCTTAACAAAAAATTGGAAAAATCAAAACAATATAATCAAAATAAAACAAAAGTAAACTATTTTGTTCTTAAACTGTTACTTTACCTAGCTGTACGTTACACATAAATTGACACTTCACTACCTTCGATTATTCGCACATCTACCTGTCCACAAATTGAATACATAACTGTTGCCAAAGAGTACTTTTGGGACATGACTAATCAATTAGGCTTAAGAAAATTTCATTGGCAAACACATTTTCGCTGTGCCGTTCGCCTTCCCCTTTCGAGAAGTATTTATGTTTATTAGGCTGGACAATTTGCCGACTTAAGCAATTACCAGCAAGCCAACAAAGTGCGTTGGCGCTTTTCAATATTTATACGCCTGTCACCCACTCCCGTAAGCCCTCTAATGGTATGTAAATGCTTGACGGCTTACAAAATACCGGGCCAAGCATAACAAAGGCGGCGCGGCGACCACAACCCGTTATTATTATTGTTGCATACGTCAAGACGTCCTGGCCCTGGCCCTGCGGTCTGTCTTGTTTCCCTTTGCTTTTTTGTTCCTTCCGCTTTGTTTTCCCAAGTAATTTGCAGTGGCAAGTAATTTAATAGCGTTGCATACGTGTGTGTGCGCCTCGACGGGCTGTTGAATGCGCCCCCAGGTGGGCAAGGTGTGCTGTAAGTGGGCGGGGGAGTGGCCGTCAAAAGGTAAATTATGCCGGCGGATGACAAGCGGACTCCTTCGAACGCTCTCGGTGTCCTCTGGGCGGCTTGCGGGCCACATTCAAGATTATTGGTTTCAAGGGTGAAATTATGAAATGAAGTGGAAAATGAAGTGTGCGATTGTGCCAAGTGGCAAGTGCGGATGAAAGCTCCGCCAAAGGAGAAGACGATTAGAAGAGGGGCTTAAAGGGCAAATATTGAACGGCGACAAAGAATTCTAAGCGGAAAGGGCTGGAACCAATTGAAAAGGAATGAAATTGGAAACAATCGAAGGAAAACGTATTAAGACTTTAAATATATGATAAGGAAATACCCAAGTGCCTTCCTGTTAAAAACAAAATCTCATTATATTTAAATTTAATTTTATTTCAGAGACATTCGACCAAGTCTTATGTCAATGTCCTTTATTAAAAAAGGGGTTTTTTTATTTTTCGTCCACTAAAACCAATTACGAGTTGCAATCGGTCTACCTAGAAATCAGGGGTCTTAAAACCAAGATACTGCCTGTGAAAGGGTATAACCTTTAGCAGAGACAATTCGTGTCTCTTAGTCATGGCCCGAAATGCAATCGGCAAGCGCGAAAGGAAAGAAAAGGACCCCAGAAGAACTGTGTCAACGACTTTGCTCCACTTAACCATTTAACGAGCAAGTTAGCTAACACGTAATGCCAACAACAACTGAAGAGCAACAAAAGGATGTGGAAAAATTCAAAACAAGTGGCACAGCACAAAATATTGAACAACAATAGGGCGAGCGGAGGAGAGGACTAGATAGCCAAACGGCAGGGAGGGCGACAGAGAACGCGTGTGTCATCATTAGAATAAGAAGAGAGAGCGAACATCCCCCGCGCCAAGGATGAATGTAAAAGCAGACACAAGAATATAAGTAGGAAACGGGTGGATGCGGGGAAGGATTGGGGGATACGAGGAGAGAACGGGAGGACGGACGCACGCACAAAGCACAACAAAGAACGCCGGCGACGTCATCCAACGCAGCACGCACCACCCTCGCCCTGCCCCCTGCCGCACGACACCCCTCAAAGCCCGTCCTGTGCAACCCCCATCTATGCCCGATCCTAGACAGCCACCACCATAAATGTGAAATACACAATGAAATTTACGCAATATCCCAAAGTAACAGACTTTTCTGCGTTGGCGTTGTAATAAAATCAAAAAATAGAGAATAAGAGAAAAGAGGGTGACAAGCGGAGGACAACAACAGCAACTGGAGCAACATCAACAACAGCATGTGGGGCACACACACTTACACACACACTGATAAAGCAGTCAGCTGAAAGTGAAACAGATAGATAGGGGAGCGGGAGTGAGACAGCCGTTGTTATTCAACGCAACAGAAATATATGTAAGTCCGATTAGAATTTAAGTTTTTTTGTCGAAAATTCCACAAAGCTGGTTGACAATTTGGCAGAATCAAGAGACTAAAGAGCAAGTGAATGAAAAAGTAGATAAATCAATATGTAGGACGAGATTCTACCATATGGCACTGAGAAATATCAGGTGGAAGCGAGATAACCAAAACAAGGGATGATGATAAACCTGAATTATAATAAATTGAAGCTCCTGTGAGGATTTTAAAGATCAATGAGAAGACAAAATAATAGTAAGTCCGAGGAGTTAATCGTACAACTTTACTTTCAAGACTGTAGAACAGTGGTGCCCAAGGCTCAGTGTTTGCTAATTTTCAGGAAAGTAAACCATTTAAGCAACGCTCCAAAAAGCCAGAGAAAAAACAGGATCGTCTCAGACCGATGCGATCAAATTATCTTCATGTGAAACAGGATTTGTGAATCATTATTATCTTAAATAGGTATTTTATATTGGTAATTTAAAAGGATTTAATGTTTAGTAGTTGTCCAATTAGCGTCAATTTTAAATATTACTTGGCTACAACAAATTTAACTAGATTGGTAAGGTTTTGGAAATAGATTAGAAAGTCTAAATTTAAGAAATCGTATAAAATATTCTTGTCAGGTAGTTGATAGTTGATAATTGGTAAAACAGGCAATAAAAAGGAAGTTGAGTTGAGTCAATTGATTATGATTGATACATTTTTTAACGAAATAAGGACCACACAAAATACTGAACTATTTTTGAATCAACAATTATTATTTAAATTTTCTTTCCATTAAATATGTCGTTTGAAATATCTTTGGATCGGAATATTTATGGTTACTAGTATCGTAGCACTTATTTGCTTTGATTAAACTTTTTGCTAGTTTTTAAAATGATTCATAATCCTAAATTTACTGAAATCAGATAAGTGAATAAATAGATAACTGAAATAAACGTTGCAGAGTTCAAAAAATTTAAAGTATTTACAACTATTAACTCGCTTTTCAAAACAGCTATATTTAGTAATTTGACGCTTAAAAATGTTCGAAATTACAACCACAAGGGATAGCTTTACGTTGACTTTGAAATTGTTTGCCTTAAGATTAATTAAGAAGCGACTCCGTTCCAGTTTAAACTGATTGGAAAAGGTCTTAAGTAACACTTGCTAATACTTTGTACAATATTTCGTGGCTTTAAAATGGTTTATCTCGAGATCTCTAGAAGTTCACCACATATGTATATATTTTTCTCTTTGCTTCGTTTAATCTTTCATCGAAAAGTAGTCTACTTTTTGGACGTTCAGAAGTTTTTCCGTCCAAAGGAAGAGGAGCACTTTAAGTCGAAGCCAATGCTCTCGTAACAAGGACATTGGCCAGAAGCGGATAAGTGAAGATGGCGGTGCGTTAATGGCCGAGCGACGCAGACAGTGAAGCCGAGAGTCACATTGACCTACACACAGACGCTCTGATTTCGAAATTCCCACAAAAAATGTGGCCGCAAACACGCATACACATACAGGGAAGGACACCCAGACGCAGTGAATGATTAATTGTCAAAATATGTTGAACAAAGCCAAGGGCACAAAAAAAAAAAGGAAAAAACAAAGAGGAGCTGGAGGAAAAAAGCGCCACAACAACATAATAAAAAGTGCGTTAGTGAGCGTGTGACAATGTGTGCGGCGATGAATGCATATGTATTTGTATTAAGTTGTCATTACGTGACTACGGACAACAAGATTTATTATCATTCCGCTCCCCAACTGCAACCCACCCACCGCAAAAGGAAGAAATTCATTTGGGCCCCGATTTGATACTCACAGTAACTTGTTGAGCAAACTCAACCTTCGGCTGGCCGACCAATTCGATAATATGAACCATATGGAACGATTTGCTCTTGGACGTGGCGCCTTTGCGAGAAAAAATTGTTAACGATTTGCACCGATTCCCTGGACGCTTTTGGTTTTCTTTTTCTCTCAAAATGGCTGTTGCTTATTTGCTCGAGTTTTTGTTGTCGTTATTTTTTAGCACTTTTTATTTCAACAGTTTCTGATTTGTTTCTGATTTTCACTTGAATTGTCTGTTACTTATTGATTTGACTGTATTTGATTTTCTGCGTTACTTTTCGGGGTTAGCCTGCTATAAATGTATATTCGGCGGCTGGTTTAGTGCTTATAGTATTTATCTTATCTGTATTTTCCAGTATTTAAGCACACACGCATGTACTCTCTATATATCTATGTATCTCTCTTTTCACTCTCTATGTGATCTTGCTGCTCGTTTCTAAAATCGAATTAAAATTTGTGTTTGTGAATATTATTCGTGTTGTCTGTAAGCATGGGTAATTGGTAATTGGGAGTGCTTTTTCAGGTACAGTTGGACAGAAATACATTTTAGACTAGCCGATACGCTGCGAATTTAATCGCTTGGATATTAGGTGAGCGCGGAAATGAATAAAAACTCTCTTGCGATAACATTTATTCGCATATCTATTGTTTTTGGCAGAGAAAATGATTTATCATAGCATCGACTTGCTCTGAGGAATGCCAATAATTTAAAATTCGAATTAATCGAGAAGAACGACTGACAAATGGAATTTTATATTTTTTCTTTAAGGCTTCCTGGGAATACATCAAAATATTAAAACAAATTAGCACAGTGTACACTTCACACGCAAACGATTTTTGCTTTTGGACACTTGAAATAAAATTTCGAAAAAACAATGCATCAGCTCTTTTGGTAAATCAATATTGCATATAAACTTAGCAATATCATTATAACTTTTTCCTATAGCCAGTTTAGCATCACAAAACTTAAATGCAAAATAAAGTAACTAATTAGTGAAATGTTTTACGACTGATTTAACACTGCAAATCGAAATGGTTCTGAAAATGATTTTCGTTCAACACGAGCCACATCAAAGCGCCCGTAAAATAATTTAGCAACTACACACTATATGGTATACTCAAATATAAAATCCCAGGCCAAAGAAAGGAAAATCATGCTCTGCTGGCCAAAATCATTAGGAGCAATGCATATTCAATTAACATGGCAAAATATATTGGCAGCTCACACTGGCACAACCAAATACAAAATACAGCAAACACAACAGATTTTGGTGAAAATGTTTCAATGGGATCTCGGCTCGGTCCAGTGCTGGAGAGCCGGAATGCCATGGAGATGAAAATGAAATTATGGAATGCTCAAAATATTCAAATTCAGTGCGAGAAACCGAAACAGTTTTCCGTGCTCCGCTCTGCTTTGGGTTGCTTTCGTTCGGTTGGCTTTTCAGTCCAAAAATTTAATTGAAAATGTTTTCGTGTGCTGCGAGCGTGAATCAATTTTCGTTTGTTTGTTTATCTGGGCAAATTGAAAAAAATACAACAGGAATAAAGCGAAGCGTGGAAATATATCCAAAAAGTAAAGCCCAGACAATGGGAGCAAAAGAACCTGATCGCCAGTTGGGTTTCCCTCAACGCGTAGTTCTGCTTCTACTTGGAATTTTTGTTTACGAATTGTTTCTAATTATTTTTGGGTTTGTTTATCGCGGCAGTAGAGGCTGCTATTTCTGGAGCTAATGGTAATGATGCCGATGAAGAGATTGAACAGAAAGCGAGTTCTGGTAAGTCAGGTGCTGGTAACATGGATGCGTGATATTGCGGAATCTACTGGAAATATTTTGCTGCATAAGTTCGGGATGTTTTGGTAGAAATTGCCCTTGCTTACAGGTTTAACAGTTAAAAACTCGAATATGCGGCTTGTTCGTGTTATGGAATCGAGTCAACGAATTTTTCAAATATGTTTGCGATTTTGTGGCGAATTAATTTGATTAAGTTGTTGTTATATTTATAATATATTATTGAAGCGAATTGAAATTTTAATATTTAGATGGTTTTTGGTTTTTGTTGTTTGTTTTCATGAATATTCGTAATTTGTATTATCGATGTGTTTTTATATGCGTTTCTGAATTAGAGAACAAATGTCACACGACAGTCGACGAGAACTATACGAAATATTCCGACTTAACTACACAGAACTCAATATCATACTGCTGTCGTGCATAGTCGGGTTGCCTGCTTAAATTTTCGAAAAATTTCGTAAATAACGAGAATTTGCTCGCGACTCGGGAAAGCCGAAAGTACTTCGGCTCGCTGGAGGAAAATCCTCCCTCGCAATGCTCTTACTCTCTTACGAGTCGCTCTTTACCCGCTCACCCGAGCAACAGCAGGAACACGAACACGACCGAACCTGGACCCATCCGACCAATTCGAGCCAGCGTACAGTGAGGCCAACAGCAAATATACACCTCGACTTGGTCGAACAATAATACAATGGAAAATGTCTTAACAAATGATTACCACAAGTATATTTTATTTAATATTCCCCGGGGTTTCTTTTCCCTCTACAGATTTATTCCTTATTATTAAAGAATACTTGGGAATATTACGCTGAAACTACTTATTGCTATATTCTAGATATTTGTTAGATATCAATTTGAAACACTTAAAATACCTATGGAACACCTTTCTATGGTAAACTTCATAGAAACTTATGATGTGGAAACATGTAGCCGATGCCCACTGTACAACGAACGCAACAGCCCAACTCGCCGGCACAGAACGGGTGATGGTAAACAACAACACACACGCACACATGTTCGAGCGGTCGGTAGGGGGTGGGGGTGGGTGGACTGGTGCTTGGCCCGAGCCTTTCGGCTGCCTTCGGGATCCCGTTACGAGCAGTGGCTCGAGCGCGTCGAACGTGCGTGTTCGAAGCTGACGTCGAACTAGAACCAGAACCAGCAGCCAGGAGCCGACGGTGCGTATGCGTACGCAGCATTAATGAAGCCAAGATCCTGGACTGAACATATGGGTTGCCGATAATAGCTTGTTGCTCCTCGAAACATCAGCAGTTTCAATGAGAACAGCTTGGAAATTGCACATTGGAGATTTAAGATGGGAGATCTACGCCATCCACCCTCCAGCATCCCACCTTCGCAGGACCCAATCGTAGTAGTCCCGACTCGTCCGTGGAGCACAACAAAACAACGAAGGCGAAAGAGGAGGCCAAATCACGCCGAGCGGCGGCTCTGTCAGGCAGGCTGGAAATGGAAACCCCAGCAGGCCTAAAGGGAAAAGCCCCGACCAGCGGCCGAGCGAGCGAACCAACTCGTGACTCGTGCTGCCGAAGCACGCGCAGCCTTTCTCTCGTTCGCGCCCTCTCACTCGCGTTTTCCGGGTGGGGGTGCGAGCGAGACGGCTAGCGGTTAGTTTTCCGCCCTAGCTATGTAAGGTGTCTTGTGTAGTGGAGCAGAGTGCATCTGAGTGGGAGAGCGCGTGTGCCGGGCTTGACTGGCTCGGGCTGCTGCCCTTCTGGAGCTGGGTGGTGTGGGGGGTGGCGTGAGAGAGCGTGGGGGCCGGGCAGCGAGGGGGTTGCGGTGGGTGGGCTGAGCACCGCTAACATGTGCGTTTCGCTCTTGTTTTTGCACTGCTCCGCTCTGCTCTGTTTTGACTGGAAGTGCTCATCACTGCGATGATAATTTTCTGTTGAATATTTATGAAACACATGACTCACAATGTGATTAAGGCTTTCCCACTCACCTTGTTGTTGCTGCTGCCGATGCCGCTGGTCCCAAAAGGCAAACACAGAACGTGGCTGGAAGGCTACACCAATAAGAGCAGCGAAGAGATTCGCACTGACCGAAGAGAGTCGGTCCGAAGAGCGAGTGTACAGACACACACGCACAGTAGCTCACCCACACTCGCACGCCATTCACCGAATTGCTGGGAAATTCATCATCATGAGCTTGATGTTGATGACGACGCACGAAGACAGGAAGAAATTAATATGCGAAACGCAACAATTTTTGCCAACTACAGCGGCAACAGCAATGGCAACAACAACAGCACGGGCGGCAGATGGAGGAACACTTTTTGCGCTTTCCCCAAAGCCGGCAAAAATAACAACAAAACGGCAACCGGGAAAACATCTGCGAGGCATTGAATAATGCCAGCGAAGTTTGGGGTGCGGCTTGTTGTGCTTTTATTTCCGGGCTTTGCCTTAATGGTCGAGACACAGTTTTGCGCTATGCACAAACATACATACATACATATTCTCCTAACTGTAGAATTACCTGCGATTCGAAAAGATAACCGATAAGGTGTTCCAGAACGATAAAACTGTTTAATGTAAGAGTTAGCTTCTGACAGGCACTCATTACGAGTTTCCCCTTTACCTCTTTTCAAGTTAAAATGGACCTGATCAGTCCAATTTTCATTTCTCGGTCAGTTAGCTAAAATTTTGTTTGGATTTAACGAGAGGTCAGTTAACATTTGACCCTAGATTAACATGTGAACAAATAAGGGTTATGAATAAAAAAAAAAAACGTTCATGTTTGTGTTGACTACCTAAGTCAACTTTCCCTTTTATCTTTACCATTGTTTTAAGGGACCGTTAAAATTTCTCGGTCAATTAACCAAAATGTGATCCATGCCTCAAGTAAGAGGTTACTTCGGTAACTTTGTCCTGAACTAGATGTTAAGAATTCGATTATCTAGGAGGTTTTCGCATGGCGGGATCAATGTACCATGATCTGGTAACCTACCGATAGATGGCTCAGCCCGAACTCTCGACTCTACACAGTTAATCCGCCAGCTAATATGCCGAAATCCATCAGTTGTAAGCTCAATTCGGACGAGCTCAGTTCGGTTGAGTTCAGTCAGTCATTGAATCAAGCTGCTAACAATCTCCGCCCTTGACAGAGTCGGAAACCTAACAACCTGCCAAAGCAGCAATGAATGTCGTCTACTCAGTTGCCTGTCCATCTGGCCCTGTCTCTGCCACCCGCAACCCCCCTCATTCTGTCCCTCTCTCATGGGCCCGCTTCCCCTCAGCATTCAAGCGTTATTATTGTAGCTAGCGCTTTTCCTTTTACCCTGATATTTTCGCTACGCGCTTTCCTCTCGCTTCCTTGTGCGTGGGTGTCTGTTTCCATCTCTCGCTGTGTTTGTGTGTCACTAGGATACGCAAAAGCATCATGTAGCGTCCCCCCAGTCCCCCGAAATCTACCACCGCGCAGAGCAGGAGCGGCATCCCCGCAACCGTCGCGTTGTCCTGAAACTTGGAGTTTTTCAATTTGATATGCTCGACCGATTTTCGCTCATTTCAAACGCGGCACAGCACAGCGTTGTCAGCATCGCAGGCCGCCAGCCGCCGTCGTTGCTGTTATTGTTTCTCTGCGTTGCGCTTGTCGTCGCCAATTTATCGCATTTTTACTTTGATTTTGCGTTAATTTTCGGACAGCAACAGACGCTCCTCCCGCTCCACTGCCCCACAGACCCACCGTCCCACCGCTTTTCCGCTTTCCCGCTCAGGAGGCTCTTGTGCGACCGAGTTTGTTGTGTATTTAGCGCTAAATGGTCTGTTGATATTTTTCTTTTTTCACGCTCTCCTGTGCCTCTGGCTAAGAATCCGCTTCGGGGCAGTCAAGTGTTAAGGCACATAATCAATGTCAAGATGGCGACGATGATATGAAATCAATTTTACACGCATAGGAAGCTAGTTGATGGAATGCTAGGCGCAATCCCGAGAGCGAAACTCGATGATTTCCCAGCGAGCTATGAGTAGTTACAATGGGATATGCGGCGAATCCATCAATTTCAAATGTGCAACTTTGTGTGTGACAATCCTGCCAGGCACACATAGGCTCAAAAGGATATACAAAAGTCTTCGAGGATTTCTTTGGGAAGATTGGAAATTAATAATAATTTATAAACATATAATTTTATTAAACTCTAGCCACAGCTTCGCTTGAGAATATAGAGTTTGAAAAGTTTATCGCTAAGCAAATAATATGCTAAAGCATATCATTTAATGAAAACCAGAAATATAAATTAATGTATTCACCATTTTCAAAAAGGAAATTGTATTTTTACTTAACAAAATATTTCTTTACCGCACATCTGGGGACTTGGCCTTTTCGCGGAAGGCGGAAGACACTGCTTTTAACATATATTGAGCCAGTTATGTGCAGGAACTTGCTGAATGACATTATTAAAAGTCCTGGATCGGCCATAAATTCAATAAAACGAAAAATCACCAATGATTCTGCTGCCATTTATGCAGTTCGACATTATCTGACACTTGCTCGCCCTCGCCCACGCCCAGCACAACCACACACCTCCTACACTGACTCAATGTCATTTCGATTTTACATCTTCTATATACGTATTACGAACAACAAGTCGTTAGGCCGGGCCGGGCACTCTGCTCCAAAGCTATTGCCTTTATGCATCAACGAGCACATAAAAGCGCAGGAGGGCCCGGCTGCCCCTCCACATGGTCGATATTTATGCGAAAATCAAGCGATAAATCTAAATTATATGCCAGTGTTAAGGCCGGAGCAGCGTCAGAAGAAGGCCATGACGGGGCAGCCTTGGCTCCTGATCCCGGCTCCACCTCCTCCACCTCAAGCCCGTGGCCCCGAAATGTACTGGAACGCAAGGCGTATTGTTATGATGATTAGGCACCCTGTGAACGGCCTAATTAAAAGGAAGAGGCGATGCTGATAGATTCTGATTATCATATAATTAGGAGGGCTTTTGTGCGCCGGACTACAGTTTGTCATCATTCGAGGGAGCACTTTTCCAGATGCCTGTCAAAAGTTGGCCGAAACTGAATGTGGTGCTGTCATACATACATGTCTCGAAATTTCATTACGACTGCTGCTGTTTCGGCTTCTAGTGCTGCTGCGTCGTCAAGTTTTCGTTCCGCTGTCAGCCCGAGGGGTCAGAGGGCACAGTGGGAGGGAGCAGCATCAGCAGAATCTCTCTGCGGTCGAAAATTAATGAAAATTTCATAAACTGACGGGGCCTATGTAACATATATCTGTCGCAGCACCAGAAGCCATCGCAATGTTTGTGGCTTGCCATCATAACTTAATTAACAGCCGCACAGCCCGAACGAACCCTAGGCCAATATCAATCCCAGCCAGCCCAATCCCAGTCCCAATGCCAATCCAATCCACCCCTGACCCAC